TCAATCTGTATCCCAAGAGGCAGTTTGGTTCCAGAGAGTATCAAGGGTAACAAAAGACATTTTTATGGTAATTTCGATGTTTGAACCTCTCAGAGAGATGATGTGATGCAAATTATGTGATATCTCTATGTGTAATATGGCTTCTCGGCTAAAATAGTATATTGACTGGCATGTACCAGAGGCACATACCTGCAATAAAATAGGCTCATTTATTGAGAACAGTCACAATGCAAGATGCAGGCAATAGTGCCAGTCAACATTGTGCATGAACACATTATTAAATAATTCTCTTCTGTTCGTGATATCTTAGGGGAAGCAGTAATCATCAAGATCTTTTCACTTGGTTTGTAGCTAAATTTAATCTTATTGGCATAAACTAAAACCCAATAAAACAGCAAAACAAAATGACTGAAACAAAACAAGCAAAACAAGCTAAACAAGGAAAATGAAACAGCCATAACAACTAAAATGAAATGACCAAAACAAAACAACCAAACAAAATGACTTCTATGACCAAAACAAAACCACTACAATGATCAAGACAAGTGGAGGATAAAATGTTGTAGAACTTGTAGATTTCACTTCAGATATTCTCTCACATTTTAAAACCTTTTAAATATTAAGGCTGTCTCACAAAACTTTTTTCCTCTCCACACAAGCAGTTGAAACTATAATTTGATACTTATATGTAGTTTCTTGGACAGAATGCCAGCCGTATCAAAAACCAAAGCATATCTCACAGAAAGAAGAGGAGGAAACAGATAATGGTATTCAATGACAATGTCTATGTACCTAATTTTTTCCATTTATTTCTTTTTTAATTAAGGTTTCATTGAGACATAACTGAATTTCGCCAATGAGGTAGATCAGGAGTAGACCATAATTGAAATGAGATAAATATATCAGCTGGCACTGAAATTAAATTTTCTAGTCATTTCGGTCGTTTCGGTTTGGTTGTTATGTTCATTTCATTTCAATTGTTTTTTTTTGTAGATTCAATGGTTTCACCTATTTCATTTTGTTTTGCTCATAACCGTTGTTTTGTTTTGCTTGTTTTGCTCCTTTTGCTTGTTTTACTTGTTTCATTTTGGTCATTTCATTTTGCTGTTTCAGGTTTTAGTACATGCCAATCTTAACAATCATAACAACCTTTCTTTTTGACTCCATCATTCCTATTGCCATCATCGACTTTCATCATCGTCATCATCCTTCAGGTTTTTCTTCCGTTCTTGAATTCCTTCACACTCTACTCCATCTTCTGACAGTGCACTGTGCTCAAGTTCCAGTTGATCTTGAAGTTCCTCATACCTTTTTTTTCAGTTCTGATTTCTCTTTTGTGATTCGTGGCAAACGTTGAACACAAACTGCACTGAATATCCTTGATATCCTTGGTTTTGGTTGAACTGTGCAGAAGTTCTTGCTAGTGATAAAATCTAAGAGAGAAATCTCCTCTGTAAAATCCAATATTTGAATTCATAATCTCATCAGTGTATTCGCAAGACAAAATCCCCCAAAGTAGACAACCAATTTTCGAACAAACTGCCCAGCTTACTATCCCTTTTAAGAATTGCTCTTAATCGTTATTTTCTCGCCATCCCTGACCGATAAAGGTTAATCCCTTGAAGAAAAACGCCCCAAACCTAATCTCGCAAAATAAGCTCTCTGAGCCGCCATTTTGAATCGCTTTGCAACCACTCATTCTGGAACGCCTGGCTTAAAATCAAGCATCATGGCGCTAAAGAAATTAAGATGCGTGACTTCACTCGAAAACTTTCATCAAATGGGGTCTTTATTTTTCCTCCATGATCAAGGACATACAGCAGAGAGCTCTAGAAGTCTTCTTACAAGCATTTTGAACAAAGACTTTGAGTTTGACCATATTCGAGTAATTTATCCGCAAGCTCCAGATATTACTTTCCAGGTCGCTCATGGCGGACTTGAACAAGGGCTTTGGTACGAGCGGAACACGTTAAGCCCCACTGCTATGGAGAGGATGGACTCGATTGATCACTCCTGCAGTTTGATTTGCCATTTGATTGATCAGGAAAAATCTCGCGGAATTCCACTGGATAGGATCGTCATTGGTGGATTTGGTATGGGAGGGAATCTCGCCATGCATGTAGGGTTCAGGTACGCGTGTAAGAGGGTCATGATTTACAGATATAATATTCGAACTCAATTTTAGTGGCTTAAACTTTAAACGGTCGATAATATTAATCTAACACCCCAAAAAGACATAAAGTGGACTGATCATGACATTCTTATGGCATAATTAACTTGCAATCGTAGTTTAAGCGAAGATAAAATGAGCGTAACGTGGGTGACATTTACATGGCGTGTGTGTGCAAGTGGGACATGTTGTGAAATGACAGAACCATCACTGAAGAAAGCTGTTTTTATTTTTCGTCATGTCACGAGCATTGAAAAAGATAAAAAATTACGGGTTCCCATAAGGGAAGTGAACCTCAGATCTTCTGCTCCCGCTCTCCTATGGTCTACCATTAGGCCACAGAGCCTCATCTACGATAGAGTTCATATGTAACCACAGGCAGCCCAAGCTTCAGTTGCGATATGATCATTTTGCAGAATAGCATTCATGGAAAAATTATGAGAGTTTGTATGAGAATATTTGTGACCGCTCTAAGGAATAAAAAATAAATCAAATTCTCAATAAAAATACCTCACCTTATTTCCACAGTGCATTGCTTATTATCTGACTGTTTACTACATTGAAGGAAACCCATTTTAGCAAGTTATCCATTTCTAGGTTTATGGCTACATATGAGAAGCCAGAAGGGTTATTCTTATATATGTAATAAACCTAGAAATGGATAACTCGCTAAAATGGGTTCTTTTAAACATAGTAGGTGGTCAGATAACAAGCAATGCACTGTGGAAGTAAGGTGAGGTATTTTTATTGATAGTTTGACTTACCAGTTTATTTTTTAATCCTAAGAGTGAATGTAAATATTCCTATACAAACTCTTTTAAGGTGGTCTTCCACTCACATTTTAAAAATTTTCAATATTAGCTGGGTCCAATTCATTATGGTACCACTGGAAATATCATCCACAATTGTTGTGAATTTTGCTGGTGATTGACATTTTGTAACCATGGCAACAAGTTTTAAGGCCCCCCAACGGTGTAAAAAGCTACCCATCTGCTAAAAAGAATGTCTAAAGAACCAGAGGTCCCATTGTCCTATAAATGGTAACAAAATGAACTACAATGATTGCTCTATACTGTAAACCTCAAAAAGTAAACTATCAAAGTATTTTTCAGAACAATAACAATTTATTTCTGAGAAGAACAATATTTTAGCCCCAATCATTCCCAACAAATTGAAATGAGATTCATGCACTTTCATATAACTGGTTTTTTTTGTTCATAACACAGCATAAATACAAGAGAGAATTCACTGAAAATTTCAGTTCAATCACACTAAAAGAAGCAAAGATATCCTTTTTGCTGTTTTGGCTATTAAGGCAAAATTACAGAATTGAGAAAACTGAGATTAAAGTTTTGAGTTGTAACAGAGAGTAGCCATTGTCATGGAAAACAATGTTTTGTGCTAATTTCCACTTGACACGTTAAAATCCACCAGCTACATAAATATCACCCTCCTTTTCTTGTTGTTTGTCAGTTTTTTTTCTTTCTTTTGTCACGGAGCAATCTCCACTGAGACTTGTTGACTCCTTGCTCTTTGTAGTTGGCCTTTAGAACTTGGACTGAATCAGCTTGCTGAGCCTCATCTTTACAGTAGTGACCAGGAGAAATTCCAATTTCCTCAAGAATCTTCACAGAAGCCTGACATCCAATATTAAAGTGGACTACTGCATCATAAATGCCCAACTGCAAGGTCTCAGGGCCAACAAAGACACTCTTCAGTACTCTCTCCCAGAACATAGCATCAAGGGCCTCATTCTAATTTTGTGTCTTTCCATCAAGACATCTGCTCAAAAGACTGACTTCACCCAGTCTAGCAAAAATTGGTTTCAGTTCAGCAATGACATCTAAGGGTAAACCAGCCTCATGCTTATAGTAGTTTGTTTGATTAGCTTGATCCCTCATGTACCCACACCAACTAGTAGCACCCTCTGGGAAATGCTGCAAATGCAACTTTCTGTCAGCTGAGGATGCACAATGAAAGAAACTTGCATGAATAGCTGATTTCATAGCTGGAAAATTACCAGGACTCTTATTTTGCAAGATGATCATCTCACAGCTGGAGCTTGGGCCATCTGTGATGTGACACATGTTCCGCATACCACTAGAACTATTACTTAAGTTGAATATTGCCTGACAGAGAAATCACATGTGACAAAGAAATTGCAATTGACATTGTAAGACTTGTCCTTTTTTCTTTTGTCCATCAGGTATCTTACAAACATTGCTGGTGTTTTTGCTCATTCTTCCATCTTATCAACGCGATCTACTGTGTTTGAAACAATAAGAAAAGAGAGAGAACTTAATGAGGATCAGAAATTCCCTGCTTTGTTTATGTGGAATGGAAGAAAGGATAAAAACTGGCTGAGATGGGCTGCACACACTGCAGAGTGTTTTATGGACTTGGAGATACAAACTGATTTCCAAGTGAATTACGCAATGCAAGGACATGAAATTATATCAGATGAAATATTTTACTTAAGGAGATGGGTGGAACAAATGATTCCTAATCTTGACAGAAATACCAATGATCATTAAAGTAAATAAACAGATTTGATTTGGTAGTCATGATAAACAGGGAAAAGAGACACAGTATATGAGGGTGGAGTCCTGTCTTTTTTTTTTTTACATCTGTCTGACAGATTAGTGTCAAAAGCAGCTGGTGTTTTTTTCTTTTTTTTTTTAGGTCCTATCACCACACATAAATATATATTCAGGTTTTAAACTATTTCTGCCTCTTCATTTGACCTAAGCTAACTAAAAATTTTCTTTAAGTTATTGTTCTTTAAATCTGCTGTGCTGGTTCAGTATTACAGAACTAGATAAATTGATCATCAAATAAAGGAGGTAAGTTTCTAAAGAAACTAAGATGGTCTTTGACCTATTAAAGAGGCCACCTAAAATTGAAACGTTTCCACGAAATACGAGTAAATCTAACAAAGATAGAAACCCCTGTAAAAGTATGAGATCAGGCGAACCTTGCATTATCGGGTAACGCGTGACCATCTGTTACTATGACCATCGAAAACTTCGCGTGACCGCTGAGGTAGAGCCACTTTCCGCCAACGGCATCAAACGATGACGTCACGGGAACGTCCCTAATTTGCTTCTAGAGTGAAGCCGAAGTGATGTACTTTTTCTCTCAGATTTACTGCTGTGATTCGCTGAGTTGTCCCTTCTGTTTGTAATTAAGCAGGTTTGTATTTCTTAACTTTCTTAAGATCGGTTTTCTAGTCTAACAGAGTTAGATGACATGCAGTTTATAGCTGCCGTTCCACTAAATTTCAACTTGAGTCTTTCGAGCACACATTAGATTATTGCGAACCTAATTAAACTTTCGTTGAAAGTAGTCGATGTGAAGTAACTTGTAAAACAAAATAACATAGAGTAAGTTCAAAAAACCTTGTTTGATTTGGTAATGAATGTGTCTCGAGGCGCGCCATTTATACACGTTTATACACGTAGCTTGTTGAACTTTCATTTTCGATTATTATCATCCCGGGTTGATATCAGTATCTGTGATAATTTTTGCGCAGCTAACAACTTTACAGTCCTCTCCACTACTCTTAGTCGCATACTACATGTGTTGGATCGTAAGAAAAGCTTTGCGAACAAATTAGAATTAGTAAAACGTTCCAAGTTCTTGCCTTTAAGGAAGTCCTGATGAAATTCTATTGTAGCGAAATTTTGCCAACTATTGTGCATGGCCTAGATTTATGGGGTGCGTGCTAAAACTCCGATATTAGAAGCTCAATTGAGAGATTTCAAGTTACTATCTTAATGTCCTAGATTAACTCTTCGTTGCTAGCTCTGTATGTAGTATTTTACATATATATACTTCAAGTAATGTTCAGTATAGCATGCACAACCCCACAACCTTTGGAGCTTTAACTCTTATCGTGTCGAATTAAAGGGTTTAATGTTTTTTTGTTTTGTTTTTGTTTTTATGTTTATCCCCTCCCTCTCCAACCACAATCAAGTGAGATGTATAGGTTCCTAAATAAATGAGCCACAACCTCTTTGATACATGGCTTTACTCAATTGTTTATTTCAGGAAGACCATGGCCACAGCTGCTCCTCCAGTGACATTTTCCTCTACTAAAGAGACCACCAATTATGCAAGACTTTGTCGTCTTCTGGTTGATATGGGATCTTGTGTGCTACGGGACACATTTGACAGGATTAATCCCCCAAGCGACCTTCACAACCACTTGGCGACACATCACACCAAACTTCAGCAACTTCAAAAGAAAAAAGTCTTAAATCCAACACAATGGGGAAAGTTATACCCAGCAATGCCTTCCTCAGTATCATCAAAAAACTTTGACATAACTCTTCTGACAGTCCTACTGAGGAACATTTGTAGCTTAAGACCACCAGCCACTGGATGGGATGCACTTCCACCTGCCACAGATATGAGCACAGAGGCCGACATTGCTCGAGTGAAATACTTTAGAAATACAGTGTATGGCCATGCTGAGAAGGCTTCTGTGGATGATGCTACATTCAATGTGTATTGGCAAGACATCAAAGATGCTTTAGTGAGACTTGGAGGACCTGCATATGGAGTGGCAATTGATAATCTTAAAAATGAGTGCATGGACCCTGTATTTGAGGAACACTACAGAGAACTTCTAAAGGAATGGAAAAGAGATGATGATAACACCAAAGACAAACTGGACGAAATTGATCGGAAACTTGAAGAACTGATTTTGAAAGCTTCAACAAGCACGCCATTGCCAAAAGGTAGATTTTAAATTTATTGATTAAGAGTGGTGAGGATGGAAGGAGAGGGAGAAACAAATTATAATAGAGAAGGCGGAGGAAAACAGAGGTGGACCTAATTAGGACAGAAGAAACTAAGAAAAATCTGCCAATCTTGTCATTAAATCATATTTTCCATTTCATTCTCCATTTTTCCTCTTCATCTCACGTTTTTATTCCTTTTTTGTTTCCTTTCAGTTTTTTCCTTTTTCTTCTTTCCCTTGATTTATTCAGATTTTCTTCCCTTCCCATTTGAAGTACAAAAAGGAGAAAATTAAGCAAATCAAACACAATTCCAAGTTTTTTTTAAATTTAATATTCAATACCATTATGAAAGCAAAATTAATCTTTTATTTACCTAATTTACCTTAATTTAATTTCAGATGTTGAAGAGCCAACTGAACTTATAGAGAGGATTCGCCAACTTTACCAGATACGAGAAGGACGAATTTCACCATTTCCTTGGTGTGAGTTCTTCAACTTTGACATTAACGACATATTTACCATGCCAACCATTGTCAGGCAAGACAAAACTAGAAAAAGAGCTGTAGAACAGGTAACCAGCATAACTGGAGTCTTTAAACCTCACAGTGGATGTTCCAAGCCCAGAACTGTCCTGATTGAGGGAGAACCAGGAATGGGTAAGACAACCTACTGTCAAAAGGTAGTGTATGACTGGGCCAATGGTAAAGAAACAGATGCTTCTTTCCCAAAAATTAAATTGGTTCTCCTGCTCAAATGTCATGACATGTCGGGCAACATCTGGGAAGCCATTGATGATCAGTTGCTTCCTCAAGATATTGAAGAAGAAGAAAGAGAGAACTTCTTCAAGTACATTCGTGCCAATCAGTCCCAGGTTCTGCTGGTTTTTGATGGATTGGATGAAGCACCTACCAATGTTATGGAACTGTTTTCCCGCCTTGTTGAGAGCAGAGAACTCTCAAAGTGTCATATAATTCTTACATCCAGGCAAGAGGGGAGTGTTAAGATTAGTAAGTTTTGTGACACCTTGCTTCAAATGGAAGGATTTGTTTCAGATAATTCTCACAATTACATCATGCATTACTTCAAAGACTTGGAGGCACAGGGACAAAACCTTTTGATGGACATAGAACAAAATATTGAACTTAGAGAACTGATTGTCAATCCCTTATTCACAGCAATGCTTTGCCTTGTTTATGAAGATTTAAAAGGTGGTCTGCCTCTAAGCAAGACTCAGTTGTATCTTGAAATCACAGAATGCATTCTTAAGAGATTTTGCCAAAAACAAGGATTGTCTCACAGTAATGACGACCTAACTGAAGTTTTCAAGGAAGAGCTGGAACAATTGGGAAGTATAGCCTTGAAGGCCTTGAAGAAAGATAAAATGCATATTGAAGACAGTGAATTTCCAGGAACAACAGGAAAATCACCTCTATTTGAATTTTTATCAGTTCAGTCTAACAGCAGCAAAAGAAGATCCCATACATGCTACCGATTTTCACACAAGAGTTTTCAAGAATTCTTTGCAGGTCTTTATCTCTCCAACCAAATTTTGAAAGGGGAAACAGACTTTGAGATGCTGCTTGCAAATGAAAGACAAAACTTAAAGTTTCTTGAACCAGTCTTTTTGTTCACTGTTGGTATTCTTGGCCATAAAAGAGAAAATGGAGCGTTGTCTCTATTACATATCATTATCAAGAAAGCCAATCTTTTCAAAAACTGTAAGCTTCAAAATTTTTATTTGTGCTTTGCTTTAAAGTGCATTTGTGAATGCTCCACAGAAAATTCAGGACTTCAATCCCAGATGATAAATTTGCTAGGAACAAACCTAGAACTTCAAGAGTTGGTAATAACTGACAACAGTTTTCATACTAAGTTGCTTGTTGAGGCCCTTCAAGTTAACAGCACACTTACTTCTTTATACATTTGGGTTCCATTTTTGGGAGACCAGTTTATTGTGTCATTGGCAAATATGCTTCAAGTCAATAAAACTCTGACTACAGTTAGAATTGATGCAGAAGGTTTTTTCAGTGCACATACTGTGCAGCAACTGGCTGATTCTCTAATGGTTAACAAAACATTAAATTACTTGATGTTTACGGGGAATGCATGGGACAATGATGCAGTCAGGATCTTGACAGGTTATATGAAGAGGAGTGAAAGCTTGAGTTCCTTAAATCTAAATTGCAGTGACATTGGTGATGCAGGAGCCACAGCACTTGCAGAGGTTTTAAGGACCAGCACCACTTTAAACAGTTTGGGCCTTTCTAATAACCCAGGTATTGGTAATCCCAGTGTTATATCACTGTGTGAGGCTCTGAAAGTCAACACAACTCTTAGCTCATTAGATTTGTCTGGAACTGGTATTAGTGATGCTGGTGTTCTTTCTCTTGTGGAAGTTCTCAAAACCAATGCCAGCAGCCTAACCTCATTGTTACTGTCAGATATCAAAATAAGTCATCAAAGTATAAAGTCTATTGTAGAAGTCTTGAGAGTCAACTCTACTTTGAAAAACCTTGAATTTGAAGGAAATAAGGTTGGTGTTGGTGGAACAAAGTTGATTGCTGAAAGCCTTAAAGCCAATACAACCCTGAAACTTCTCAGTCTCTCAAGGAACAACATCAAAGCTAAATGTGGCCGTTTATTTTCTGATTCCCTCAAAGTTAATGGGACACTGGAATCTCTGACTTTGGCAAAGAATGCCCTTGGTTCTCGTGGTGCCCAACTTCTATCAGATGGGCTCAGAGTGAATACCTCACTTAGACATCTGGACCTGTCTTGGAATTCCATTGGCAGTGAAGGTGCAGAGTCAATTGCAGAGACCATCAGAGTTAATGCTTCACTGACCAGCTTGAAGCTAAAAGGGAACAATATTGGTGATCCTGGAGCCAACAAAGTTTCTGAAGCTCTTAAAGTCAATGTCTCTCTGGAGGACCTGGATCTGTCATTTAATGCCATTGGTGCTGCTGGAGCTGAGTCTATTGCTGAGGCCCTTAAAAGTAATGCTACTCTGACTAATTTAGACCTTGGTTCTAATGTCATTGGTGATAATGGAGCCCAATCACTTTGTGAGGCTCTTAAGAAAAATGCCACCTTGACCACCCTGGCTGTTTCTCACAACAATATCCATTCAGCTGGTGCTCAAGCATTTGATGAGCTCCAAGGACATAACAACACCTTAAAGAAAGTAACTTTGATCATGAACAATATTGGTGACCTAGGTGATCATGGGGATCAAGAATTTAATGACGTCCCCATGGGAAGCTGGCCTATTTTTCCTATTTCATTTGATCTTTCACTGCGCTGTACTGATCAAGGAAGCTTTGATGTAGTTGTTTCTAAAGAGACTTTGATGCTACCTCAACAATGAAGCATTTTGTAGATAACCAAATGGAAGGCAAGTTGTAAAAAGCTAATTTCATTTCTGTGCTGGAGTTGATAAGGATGACATCCATGAAAAACTATGTTTACTTGTAGACAGTGAAGTTAGATCTATTGAGGACTGGTTTGAGCCTGAGTACAACTTGGATTTCTCTCCAGTTGGCTGGTGTGAAAAGAGGAAGGCCCTCTGACATCCTCCTCAAACCTCTAATTTTTCTGGGAGTGAACCAAAAAAGTTCTCTTTCCTAGACTTGCAGAAAGCTCCCATGTTTTTCTCACATGAAGGAGATCTAAATTCACTGACAAGGAACATGTTCCTTTTCCTTATTCTGCTATAGCAGTCTTGGGATTAAGTAATGCATAAGTTAAACCATATACAAAAGAAAATGGTGTGTTTAGATGTTTATTCATATGTTTACCTAATAATATATATTCTATACCAAAATGGCCAAATATATGTTTAAAAGATAAGATTAAGGAAAAGCAAAGGTTGTTACTACCAACATAAAATCACCTTACAGTTTAGGAGAGTAGAGCTAAGTCTTCCTCACAGCTGACATCAGTTATCACACAGGTAGCCCAACCTCACAAAATAAGCCTCTGTAAAGATGTAAATATGTTTATGTTGTGTGATAATCCCATAAGAAGAAGGTTAATTTTAAGTATATATTATAGGTTCAAGTTTTTAGGTTGAGGGTGAAACTGTTTATTCCCATAAAAATCCTTACATTCCGCCCACTAAGCAACATAGAAATATTTTCATAGTTACAGACACTCATTTTTTGTGCTTTGGCTACTTGTGGCTAAGAAAACAGATTTATGCTCAGGCTTTAAGGTATCAATCAGTGACAAAACTGAAAAAAAAAAAAACTCTGCTTCCATTTCATGGTCAGCTCAGCTGCTGCTTATCCCAAAAAACTGTTGAGCTGGGAACCTGCACTCAGACTAAATAAACTTTGCATGAAAGAGGGATGTTAAGAAACTGTTAATGCATTTTGGACCAAATGAAAGTAATATCTGTAGTTAAGCATCAGTAGATAGAATAACCCTTAATTCCCTATCATCAGTATTCATTTTCTCCATTCCATCCTCTGTGCATTTACTAAGGTGCTGACAAGGAGAATTTGTCCACCAGTCAAGAGTTAAATCTTAAGTTGGTGATCATTTCCTTTATTCTCATGACATTAATGTGTGATTCAGTGGTGATATTGTAAGGAGAAATTAGATGCTACTCACTCATTGTGGTTAAAGGGTTAATATATAGACCTTAGCTCACATTAATTTTTTAAAATTTTTCTCAAAATTAACAGTCAATTAATTTTTTGGTGTCTGATTGATTTCAGTATCTGTATCAACTTGCAGATGCCAGCTTGTAAAAACTAAGACAGCTTCAATTTTCATTTGCTGATTATTTCTAGTTTGAGAAGGGCTGTTCCCTTTTTATATGTAATAATCAAAATAATTTGATAGTATTTAGAAGTAGCATCTGTTCCTGTGATAGCCATTAAACAGGTCAAACCTCTTATCTGTGTTATGAAGAAATGAACTTCATGAAAACTGTGATATCTATATTATAGATATAGAACATAGTTTGGTTTTATCAAGTGAAATGATGATGTAAATTGGCCTCCATAAAGAATTTCTTGAGCCAATGTTTCCAGCATTAGCCCCTCATCTGAGCAAATGACAAAGAGCTAATGCTTGATACATCAGCTTCAGGTCAGACTATTTCAAGTCAGCTTCAGGTCAATTTACATTATCAACATATATGATACAACCAAATTATCTTGTAATCCCCCTAATTGTTAATCACTCATGACTACCTTCAATATACCAGCATATTCCATTTACATTGAATGCCAAAAGCAAGCTAAGTTCCAGCAAACTAAACATGCCGGCATCATATAACATTGTTATTAATCTCCTTGTCTCTGACCTATATTACTTTGACCCTCTACACCTTAACATCAGTATACATATTTTCCACACTGCTCTCTATACATTTGTTATAGTATTGGCAAGGAGGATTTATTTGATAACCAAAGCTACTGTAGTTGGTGATCATTTTCTTCATTCTCATAACCTTGATGTTTGCTTCAGCAGTAACACTGTAAGAAGAAATAGGATGCTAGTCACTGCTGGGATATAAAGGGATAAGAAAGAAAAAAAAACTTGGCATGCTTATAATTATTGCTAAAGAAACCACCTCGTAAGGAGACACCTCTTGCTAAAGACTGACAGACCCCAACCTGTTGTGATGGTAAAATATAATCTTACACTATCTGATATCAACCTACTGTAATTTGGTTGTTGAAGGAATAAGTGTGAAAATGGAATTTTATCAAACACATTAAAACACAATCTGACCTTAATCAAGTCTTGGTACTTGAGAAATAAGACATTAGGATCATCCCTGTGCCTCCACCACCCAACACATGATCACTCCAATGACCATACAACACTGGAATAAAACAATTCCAAATTAAATTGTTCTTCAAAATAAAATTACACCCAAAGCTTAACGTGTTTCTTCTACATATGTCAGAAGAAAAACATGTAGGCAGAACAATGAAGTACATTTCAAGTAAGGGCCACAGGGGAAGGAAGGGGGGGGGGGAATTTATGCTTAAATTATGTACCTTAACTTTTAAAATTACACCAAATCAAAGGATGGTTTTTTCATCCAAAAAGGTTTCTGGAGCTCATCCAAACCATTTCACTCACAAATCTCATTAATAATTCTCCTTACTGTCTGTCATGCAATTCTTATGATGTAAGTTTGGAGAATTTGGTTTCGATCAACTAATAATCCCCTAGATGTTACATATTTGTGTGACGCGCTGTGAAGCGAGAGAACCATCACTAAAGAAAGCTTTTTTTTTTCGCCATGTAACGAGCGTGGAAAAAGATAAAAATTTTGGAATAGCTCTTCCGCTCCTTTCCGATGGTCCACCACCTGGCCACAGAGGCTTATATATGACACATGTTCCGCATAACCTAGAACCATTACTAAAATTGACTATCGCGTGACAGAGAAATCGCTAGTGACACTGCAAGTCTCCTCCTTTTTTTCTTTTGTCGGCCATAAGGTTTCTCACGAACATTGCCAGTGTTTTTGCTCATTCTTCCATCTTATCGACACCGTCGACTGTGTTTGAGACACTGAGAAAAGTACTACAGAACCGAAAAAGTTGATCATTGAATAAAAGTGGTAAGTTTCTGAAGAAACTATGGTGGCCTTTGACCTATTCAAGAGGCCCCCTAAAATTGAAACGTTTGCACGAACTACTATTAAATCTACCAAGGATAGAAACCCCTGTCAAAATATACGATTAGGCGAACTTTGCACAATCGAGTAACGCGTGACCATCGAAAACTTCGCGTGACCGCTAAGGCAACTCGTGACCAAAAGTGCCACTTTCCGCCACGGCACCAGACGATGACGTCATGGGAACGTCCCTAATTTATTTCTCGAGGGTGAAGCAAAATATTGCATATACTTTCGCACCCAGATTTACAGCTGAGAGTCGCTGAGTTGTTCTTCTATTTGTGATAAAGCAGGTTTGTAGTTCTTAACTTTCTTAAGATTCGTTTCTGGCCTAACAAGGTTAAATGAAATGTAGTTTATAGCTACCGTTCAAGTAGTCTTTCGGGCGCGCATTTGATTGCGAACCTACTGTTCGTTGAGAAGGAAATAATCAAGCTTTGGTTGAAAATAGTCGATGTGAAGTAACTTCAAAAACAAAATGACATAACATAAGTTCAAAAAAACCTTGGTTGATTTTGTAAGGAATGTCCTAATTCTACTTCTCACATTCGAATTGACAAATTTACTCCTTCTGAATGGAAAATTATGATAAATACAATATTCAACCGATCGATACACTGCATATGAAAACTACCATTGTTCTTCTAAGTTAAAGATCTTTGAAAGGATTCACCACATATTCAAAACACCTATTCTTCGAACCATTTTACTACAACACATACATTTTTCATGGTTGTGTAACATACAAGTTATTAAGGGAGAAGCCCTATCCATCATCAAAAATACCCTCCCAATTCTTAAAATGTTGAAGCTGGATTAATGTTCCCTTTCCCCTCCCTCTCCAACCATAATCAAGTGAGATGTATTGGTTCATAATAAATAAATTAGCCAGAACCCCTTTCATACATGGCCTTTCCCATTTCTTTATATCAGGAAGACAATGGCCACAGCTGCTGCTCCAGTGTCATTTTCATCTACTAAAGAGACCACCAATTATGCAAGACTTTGTCGTCTCCTGGTTGATGTGGGATCTCATGTGCTGCGAGACAAGTTTGACAGCATTCATCCTCCAACAGATCTTTACAAAGACTTGATAACACATCATGCCACACTACAGCTACTTCAAAGGAGGAAGGTTGTAAATCCAACACAATGGGGAAACCTCTACCCTCCAATACGCACCTCAGTATCATCAAAAAACTTTGATATAACTCTTCTGACAGTCCTACTAAGGAACATCTGTAGCCTAAGTCCACCAGCCACTGGATGGGATGCACTTCCACCTGCCACAGATATGAGCTCAGAGGCTGACATTGCCCGAGTGAAATACTTTAGAAATACAGTGTATGGCCATGCTGAGAAGGCTTCTGTGGATGATGCTACATTCCATGTGTATTGGCAAGATATCAAAGATGCTTTGGTGAGACTTGGAGGACCTGCCTATGGAGTGGCAATTGATAATCTTAAAAATGAGTGCATGGACCCTGTATTTGAAGAACACTACAGAGAACTTCTAAAGGAATGGAAAAGAGATGATGATAACACTAAAGACAAACTACACGAGATTCATTGGATGCTTAAAGAACAAATGAAAGCTTCAACCAGCACACCATTGCTAAAAGGTACATTTTAAATCTACCAATTAAGAGTGGTGTGGAGGGAAGGAGAGGGAGAAAAAATTATAAAAGAGAAGAGGGGAGAGTAAAACAGAGGTGGACCTAATTAGGACTGAAGAAACTAAGAAAAATCTCCCAATCTTGTTATTCAATCATATTTTCCATTTCATTCTTCATTTCTCCT